TTTGTGTAGTTGCACAATCGGTTCAGTAATATTCGCTTAGAAGTTGTAGTAGAATCATTTGTAGCGAAAAATCGTCCGACTTCTTAAATTAAGAGGAGATTTTTTTTCGTTTTTGACTCATTTACCTAAGGCGTGAGAGCTAATCTTTGCTCAATTGAATATGTTTATTGTTTAACAACGAACGAGTCGATTGTGCACGGATATTTCCGAGGAACAGTAATGGGCACTTTAAAATAAGAATTTCATGCGCAGAGCTCGATCGTATCGAAAACATTTTGGGCATGGAAATTTACTTATATAGTTTCTATACTGTAAAATTCGTCGGTATTTTTCGGATGAACGACACTGTCATTAGTTACGGCTTGATCAATTTAGCTTTGCTCATGAAAGTATTACTACCATTGCCATGTTCCTCTGCCTTGAGGTTTGAATGTATCACTTTCATCATTCATTGTATGAAGTCAATCGTTATTTATTGGCTTCGTGTGTATGATTTATGTTATGTAATTATGTTCAAGTATTATTTAGGTGTAGGTGTTTCAAGTTGATGCAATAACACCAACATCATATTAGGTTAAAGCGATCAAAATAATTTGTGAGGATGTAGCCATGCATAGTAGTACGAAAGATACTAAGACTTACCCGGTAGTACACAGAAGTATCAAGAAGCAGGAAAATATGCTTTTTTTTCCTGTGAGTCACCCTTGCATAGAGGAAAATCGTATTGACTTATAAGGCATGCTTTCCTGATTTTGAAGCTTTCGAAATATCGATGTAGATATGAAAAATTTCGTCACATTTTTCGATTTAAGTCGCTGTGGTATACTCGAATGACAATATGTAGTCTGCAACAGGTTTTTGGAAATATTGGACGATATCAATATGGTTGTTGTACGCTTGGTGTTGAAAATGTCAGTTATTTGGAAATTCTTCAGTAGATGAGTGAAGCTATGAAAATTTGATTATTTCATAGGATTGAAGTTGTTGAGAATGTTTCGGATCGAACAGAGGAGCTTTGAAACAGGCTGTTCAACAAATACAGGACTATATTAGTCAAATTTTGATCTTTCAAGAGCCTGGTTTTGAACAATTAGATCGAAATTTCATGCTGTTTATCAATAGTGAGGTTCACAAAAGAAAATACTAAAAGTTTTAGACAAGTCAACAGTTTCGTATTTCATTCCAGATATAGAAGTTTATCAGATATTGTTGAAAAGACAAGTGTTGTCATGTCACGTGTGATATTTTTTTCTACCATCTGATATTATCAACATTAGTAGAAATAAATAAATAAAATTGAGAAAAATAGCGAATGATAATCAAATTCAGTTAACAAGAACTCTTGTATGTAGCTCTAGAAATAAATAAATAAAACTGGAAAAAGTCTTAAATAGAATCATATCGTATGTTAAAGAGACGAAACATAATATGCCAGAAAAAAAGGTCTTATGAATCACAATATTTAGAGTGATCAAAATTATAGCTGCCTAATTCAAGTGAAAAAAAACAATGCTATCACCTTAATTTAATTCATGCATTGAATAAATTGAGTAGTAAATATTTTCGGACTTGATGAAGTGAGTTGGAGCTTCCTTTCTAAAAATTGAAATGACTTTGTCGTTTTCTTTATTGAATCGAATTACTCAGGTCCAATCTAGATCTCCACTATATTCTATCATATCACTCAATTTTCATTTCTAATATGCAATGCCAACTCTAACAAAATTGCGTCTCTAAGACGGAATGGCATATTCCACCGCTTTTAGCATGGTGAGATCTCATTGAAATAAGTTACAAAAGAAAAAAAACTGACAGAATACTTTAGTGCGCATGTAATCATGAAACGCAATTCATACTAAAATGTACTTGGAATGTACTCAAATACGCTTTTTAGATAAATTTTTTAAAACGCGTTTGAAATCAACTGGGTCAATTCACACACACATCTTGGTATCAACGCATTCGAATAAGTTCAGATAACCTTTAAAATGCTTTCGGAGATAATCTCTTTCAACTTTGCATCTGATCATATGCATAACTACGAATGAGTTTAAGTTGAATATAATGAGACATCCCTTATCGAAGGCATGCAGTTGTGTGTGCCTATCGTAGAAGTCCTTTGGTGTTCTTCACTTTCAATTACTCGTTTAAACGCAGTTCATCATTCGCTCTGATATTACTAAGATGCATCTGGACTTATTTCTTGCTTTGGATTCATGTAGCTGCTTTCTAGCAGATATTTATTCACTGAGATGAAGATAAATGTATGCACCATCACGAATTCTACTAAATGGACCTCGCTCAAAAACAATATTTTAATTCACTTATGTGTTATTTAGAAAAGACAGTTGAACTTGTTGAATTCTTGATATTAATTACTTCTTTATATAATGTATCACATTAAAATGCATTTTATTACGTAGTTACTTTTGTGAAACACACGAGAAAAAATATTTACATATACGAAAATTTCTGAGCTCTCATATTGATCATTCATTATTCCAAATATGTATTTAAAATATAAAATATAACTACATAGACAGATATCTGATGTTGACATGTATACAACTCTCATTCACTCGCAATATGAATGGAAGAGGGCGAATAAGATGTCAAAGACCTTCTTTTTTTTGAATCAGAACTGAAATCGTCGATATCGATTGTGATTCTAATTTGAAATCGCTCACTTCGTGGCTAAGAAAGTAATTATCAAGTATTTCCGTGGACCGCCGATTTGAGCATATTTTATGTCAAACAGAGTTAGAGATATCTTCTGTGGTTGTTTATCAAATTATTGTTTACATATATTTCTAAATCATTAATTTAACTGATTGTTGATACATACATAAAGAAGTACATCATTTTCTATAGAAACTGATTCCGATTCGAAGTATTTTGCATGTGTAGGAATCAGAATTGGCAGTATGGATGTTTCGCACTGAAAATCGTTCATCATTAATCTACGTACATGTCCATGACGAAAACACTAAAACATTTTTCTCGTTATTATTTAAACTGAGACATAAAACATTTTAAATTCCAGAACATGAATTTATTCTTGTATAATGACTTGAATAACAATAATTTATCATTTAATGAAAATTAATAAATATATTTTTTTCAATTGCATTAACTTACACAACTCTGGAATTAAATGATAGAAAAAAAAATGATATCAGCTTCATTCAATATCTGCATCCAATGAAAGTATTTTCGCTTTAATCGAATCACAATGTTAAACATAATTATAAATCTTAGAATATATAAATATCGGCTTTGCTACAAAATAAAATCATGGAGGATAAAAAATACATGACATCAATTTATAAGTACGACTTCAATCACTTTCAATAAACTTCCATGATTAACTCGTTGGGGACCAGTGTACTTTATAAAGTATACATATTGTTTAGTTTGTAAATATTTCAATAGTTTGCCAACATAAAATGATATTAGGATGCTGTTTTCTCTGCAACATAGATGATAATTCACTACATACATCTACATAATAGTTTCACACATATCATAAGGTTACTTATGCGATAAAAATAATGAAGCATTGAAAGACAATTTATACGTATTTTCACGTCATTTTAGGATTAGAGTAATATAATGGATATGGACAGCGATGAACAGTTAGATCTATTCTATATCTATATAAGCATCTATGAATGAACTAGATTTAGGCAACATCTATCTCAGTTTCTGAAACTTCCTCAAGTAGATCAGCTAAGTATTTTTTGCTGCTTTTGCAAATTAGTTCCGTTCAATTTTATCAGTTTTCAGTCCTCTTACATAAAAGGATAATTTGAATTATTTTGGTACAAATACAAAACCGTTATAATTTTACTGCCTAGTCTGGATCATCTAAGACATCTTATCTTTTATATTCTTTTTGCTATTTAAATAATTAAACATTGTTATTGTATACTGTTTTGTATATTTTGGTATGTAATATTGTAAATAAATCTATTTCTTCGTAAACTAACGTAGCTTCATTGATTTTCAAAAGGTTTCGCCGCATATAACAATAACATTTAGTATTAACCTCAAACAAAAAATGATTAGAAAATTTCATCCACTGGTTGAGCTATGGTCCTCAAAGAGTTAAATAATGTAACATTACGAATATTCAATGATAAGTCATTAATTGGTTCGTCATTATAAACTACCTTTGCATAAGTATCTGTACGAATATCGAGGCCTACTATATGTTCGAACGGAAAACATTAGAAGTCTAACTTTTTTTACTCATAAATAGAGCGAAGTATGTACTTTGAAATGGATATTCGAAAGAAAATTTACGAAATAGTTTCAGAGGAGACCCCCCTCCCTTTCCGGGCCTAAAATTTTCAAATTTCTCATTTCTTGTTTTTTCTGCTCCACATGTGCTTTCAAGTATTCTCTATCTATTGGTAGCATTTTGAGAACTCAAATATAGCTCTGAAGCAAAAATAAAATCGAAAAGATAAATTGATTGCCGTAGGGTTATAGCACGATTTTTTCTTTCTTCCGTGGTTTTCTAGAAATCAGATTTTCCAGCAAAAATTTACAAAATCGCCCCAGTTTCTCAGGTACTGCAAATCTGATCGGGCTGAAATTCTTTCTACAGATAGTAGAGACACTTTTTGGTGGCTACTTTTTTTTGTTTTAAAAAAATATTGTACCACTGAGTTTTGGCAGGTTTTACGAGCCAAGCACTATTCAAAAAAATATGGGTTTTTTAGGATGCGCTTGGTATTTTTGGCTTTTTTATTCGAACTGTACGAGATAGAAAGAAGCCAAAAAAAGTAGTCACCCTAAGATGTCTCTACCATCTGTAGAATAAAACTTCAGCCCAATCGGATTTACGGTGCCTGAGAAACGAGGGCGATTTGGATATGGGTGTAGGTGCTAGTCTTCTGCTGACACACACCCACCTCACCCTATTAAAACTATAGCTATCGATGCAAGTCCACCAATCCATAGTTCACCTTAACTCTAAAATATATCATCAAGAATTATTCTAAAGAAAAATCAAACAAACAAGGAATCTTTGGAAAATCTTATTCATAATAGTCAATAACCAATTACGTTTCTCTGGCGAAAACCACCAATAGAGTGAAGCTATACTAAGAAGTAAAATAAGAAAGATAGCCAAAAGTATAAATGTCCAAAAAATTGGTGAAACTACTAGACAATGATCTGTTGAACCTAATGAAAACATATTATTAAGAAGAATATCTTCAAATAGATCCATTTCAGGTGAACGAGGATATGCATATGCTTGTGATATAGAAGTAAGTAAAGTTGAATTCTTTTCATATATAGCTCCCAATGGACAAAAACTACTTGATGAACATGTAATACATGATATACTAGCAATGGTACCTGGATTTCTTGATCCACTTGGACATAATATACAAGGATGAATACCAGTATCTGATTTATAAATACCTCCAATGCATTTAGTTGAATCACCAGAGTTGTAGTTTGTTTTTGTCCTACATCTACTGAATAAACGTAATGTGTTGTGTCATCATAATCAATTGAACAAGGAATGTTTCTACATCACTGTATGCTTGGACAAAAAGAATATTGTTAGCAGCTATTTTAAGGCCATAAGCATCAAAAGCACAAGCCATATTATTTTTATTTTAAACCAAAGGCGAAAACAAGTCAATCTGAACTTTTCTTCGAAGAAAATAGAATAACATTACTAAAAGTATTACTCATGCTTTTATTTCCTGTGTGAATGCAAATAATATCATTAATTTGTCTTCGAAGCATGATCCTTCGCAACCTTTCTTAAAAAATTGAAAATTCATATTTTACATGTAAAACAGAATACACATTTCCGATATATATTTATCTATTTTACTCAATTGAAAACTTACAATTATTTTTATTAATTAATTTTCTTCAAAATAATTACATCGATAGAAGAATTTGTGTTCTTTTTATATTTATCCCCTTTTTCTCCAACCGATAACTTTCGGTAGACTAATGATGCAATTTAATAAAAAAAAATTTGTGTGTTAAACCAGGTATTTTGTAATTCATATAGGAGACAGCAGACTTCAAGGAAGTCCCAACTGTTTTCTTCCTCGATCCTAATTTGCCAAAAAACCTGTGCAATAAATGGTTAATGTTTGAGACTTGATCAAATTATTTTTCTTCATTTATTCAATAAAATATGATTATAGAAAAGCGTAATATGTTTATTTCTCAAAACAATCAAATAATTGTCCCATTATATTAATTAATGTCAA